CAGTAACTTTATATATAGGCAGTCCCTGGGTAATGAACGAGCTAGGTTCCATAGGTTTTTTCTTCAGTTGAAATTGTATGTAAGTTGGAACAGGTGCATTTACCTATCACCTGTAATAGCCTCTTTGTAAGTGCAAGTTGTCTGTCAGTCAGGTATTTGTAACTTAGGGACATCCTGTGTTTCTTTAACTCACATCCTTGTTCTTAATGCTTGAAACTGTTAGGGAAGATTTCAACATTGTTACAAACGAAGTTATTCTTTCATCAGAGTTAGGAAAGACCTATTAGGTCAGAAGCTCTTGCTGGGGATCCCTGGGGGCACAATTCCAGGGCCAGGATGAGTAGTTTTATTTTGTGTAGCCTCTTGTAGGAATTCTGTGTTACTTAAGTGAGTAGACCCATTAACAAGTATAGAATGGCTGAAACAGAGGGGCTCTCTGCTTCTCTAATCTGGAAACAAAGAATTCATTTGAGGGTATTAAATAATAAGAGACTTTAATCTTGAATGCTTAACTGAATTTGGTTAGTCCCTTAGTGTTTTGTTCACTCAAAGTATGTTTCCTTGTTTCTTTGCAACTACTGGGGGGCAAAATACCATAATATTTAAAGTAATAAACATATGCTTACAGAAACTGCTAGAAGGCATAAGCAGAAGAAGCAAAGCAAATTCTTCTTAGGGTCTTCCCTGGTTTTTAAATTATATTTGAGAACGAGTAGAGACCAGATGTGCTTTATGATAGATTCCTTACCAGAATGAAGAAGTCATGGGACCAGACAGTGGTAGGTAACATTTAATGAGCATATACTATGTGCCAGATTTTGTTATAAGTGCTTTCTATGCCTGGTGTAATTTAATCCTCACAATAATTTTATGTGGTTGTTGCAGTATTATTATCCCTAATTTATAGATGAAGAAACTAACAGAGTTACCTTGGTTAGGATTACAAAGTAAGAAAGTGTCAGGAATTTGAACCCAAGAGATCTTGATTCTGGAGCCTGCCCTTTGGACCACTGTGCTCTCTTGTCTCTTTTAGGTAATCAAGAGGGTGTATGACTGTGGTTTAAATACCTTTTTTACTATAAAGAGTGTAAAGAGTTCCTAGCACATAATAAATTTAGTGAACGTTTCTTGAATATAGAGATGAGAAGGTCTTAAAAACATTATTTAATAGAAGAAAGGATTCATTTATGGTTACCAGGGAGACAGCTCTTCTAGTCTTACCTACTACATGTTCAGGGAACTCACTTCAGATGCTCCTCCTCTGAATATACCCATAAAGTATCCTCTTAAGCATAGGTCAGGGGTCTCCCATCTAAGGGGTTGGTAAAGAAGCAGTAAGTGTTCAACAAACTAAGTACAGTATTACGAACAAAAGTGTGTATGTTTATCTTGGGAAGGGGAATGATTGAAGAATTTATAACACAAGTTGTTTTCTTAGAACTGATGGAGATAGACTTGTGCTGTCTATTCACACTCTACTCTGAATCTGTGTAACCTAAGGTGCATCTGTGTATATAACCAAGAAGGTAGTTTGTAAACTGAGAGGAGCTCACTGGCTTATGGGGGAGCTGAACCTACATCAAAGTATGGTAATACTTGGGTAACCAGCCATATTCCAAGGCAACTCAGTGGCTCTCCCTTGTAACTATTGCTTTATGTTCTAAATTGCCCCATGGGTAGGAATATTCACTTTTAGTCCTTTTTCTATAGATTACTGCAGTTCCCAAACAGAGCTCAAAGGGTTGACTTCTTGAAACTACTAGAATGACAGCAGTCTTCTTTTTTTTATTATTATTGGGGATTCATTGAGGGTTTAAGAAACCAGGTTACACTGCATTTTTTAGGTAAAGTCCTTCTTGCAATTGTGTCTTGCCCCCAAAAGGTGTGTCACACACAACAAGACCCCACCCCCCTCCCTGCTCCCCTCTCTCTGCTCTTCCTTTCCCCCAAACCCCGTCACTCTGATGGCACCCTTAATTATATTTTGCTTTGGTTATTGGGATGGTAGCTGGTTGTCTAATCCCTTTCAAGTTGCTTTCATTCAAAACTGGCCTCTAGGAAAGAAGCCTACTGATGCTGATTTATATATAATTGTCAGAATTATTCAGAAGAGAGTTGGAACAATCCCTTCTAATGTATGTTAATAGGGGAAAACAATTTCATGTTTGGGGAGTTCAGAAAATGCTGGGTTAAGAGTTAAAATTGTTTTTTTCTTTTCTGTGGGGTTCCCACAGTCTTTGACATGATAATGGGAATTATGTATCTGTAAGAGGGCAATAAGTTACCCAGTTTATCTTCCAAACCTAGTTTACCGCAGAAGCCTTGATTGTCTGAGCACATTCTGGGACCACTGTTTCTCAGAAGGACGTAGCAGGTAGGAACATAGACGATGGATCCTGACTGCAAAACAGAGTACTTAACATCTTTGCCCCTCAGTCTCCTCACTATGGATAATATACCTTTTTATAGGGTTATGGTTAAGATTAAATCATGTATACATACTTACAATATCACAGTAATAAGTGTAGTATATGTTAGCTATAGTTATTACTATTTAGCTCTCTATTTACTAATGACTAATTACTAAGGCTGTACACAACTAAAGTGTAAACTCTCATAGAAAAATTTTTTGTGACTTTTTACAAAGAACTTTCTGAACTAGGGAACGTATGAACTAGAGAATACTATGGTTTGGGGGAAAGCGCAACAGAGTTTCCAGTTTAAATCATCTGTCTAGTCAGTATGGCCAGAGAGTCATGCTGAAGTGACAGTGTTGACTTTGAGTAACTAAAGGTAAAATAAAAGAAAAAGGGCAAATTCAACAATAGTAAAAATCATTCTTGTATTCATCTAATTTGGACTTGGTTGAAATACAGAATGTTAAGTCATGAATAGTGTGTAACAGGAGACATCAAACACTTAAAATTCCAGCTTCCTGGATAAACGCTATGGAAAGAATGAAGTTGGTTGATGATGTCCAGCCTGCGAAGAAGGTGACCAGGGAGCCGTACAAGAAGTGGCTTCGGAGCAGTTCACAGAGATGGCCACTCATTCATTCACAACAGTAAAGCAGACTATACACATTATTCTTTAGGTAAAACTGGATCTCTGGTTCCCTGCAGTTCACAGAGGATTAGACTATAGCTCTAGAATGGCAACCTGTTTTGCGCTCCCAGAAACTTGGTAGGACAGGAATCCTATGTTGGAAGGTATAACTCCAGGACTGGCCCGGCCCTGAGGAGACTGGTACTCTTTCCCACACGTGTGTGTGTGCACGTGTATTCCCAGAGGGAAGACTCCCGCTCCAGAGCAAGACATTTCAATCTGGGAGACTGTGGGTGAGGCACAGTAAGTAAAAACGGGAGACTTGAGAGCTTGTCCTTCAACAGACCTGTCCAAAATGACTATCTAAAGTAAATACCGTAACTCACTGTCGCCGGGGCACACATCCTACCTCCTTCCTCCCTTCTCTCCAGCCGTCCTCATTTCCACACCCCCTCAACGGTTTGGGGAGAGCTCGTGGTCTAAGAGAGGACTTCTGACTGTAATTCTAGCACGTCACTTTGTTGAAGGCAAACACGTGGTTCGGAGGGAACGTATAAATCTCTCCTCCCGGCAAGATCGTGATGTTATCTGCTGGCAGCAGGTTTGCTCTGATGGGAGCTCCGGAAGCTCCCAACCAGAGACAGACGAGAGAGAGACAGAGAGGAGAGAGAGAGGAGAGCAGGAGCGCCGGTGAAAGGCAGGAGAGGGATGGGGAACGTTAGTATAACGGTCTAGGGAGTCATCCAGGAGCAAACGGGCTGCCCGGCTGCCGAGCGGAGAGAGACAGACGGGTCTATTCGGGGCAGCAAGTGCCTACGTACTCCGAGCGAGAAAGCCCCCGTGGGAGAGAAACCGGGAGAGGGTGGGAGGCCAAAAGACCCCTCCGCAACCCACTTGGGAATAACACTGCCCGGCCGTCGCGTCCCAGGGGCTGCTATTGTAGTCCGCAGCGGGTGAAAGCTGCGGCGGCGACGGAGGCTGACCGGCCGGGCTGGCGTTTGGAGCGCGAGGAGAAGGAGGAGCGGGAGGAGGGAGCTGAAGACCGGACGCGTTAGCGAGCGGCGGCGGCGGCGCGGAGCCACCGAGCGGGTCGGCGTGCGCGGGCCGGGCGTGGGCCACAGCGCGCAGCTCCCGGAGCAGATCTCCGCCGCCTCGGCAGCCTCCGCGGCCCCGCAGCGCCCGCCCGAGCGCCCAGCGCCCCGCCGAGCGCCCCGCCGAGCGCCCCGCCGAGCGCACCCGCCTCCCCGCGGCGCGCCGGGCTCGCCCCCAGCGCGTGCACACTCGCGCACGCACACACACTCACACTCACACACACACGTGTGCGCCTCTCCGCTCCCGAGCTGCTGCTGCTCCTGCTCTCCGCGCCGCAGTGGAAGGCAGGGCCGAGCCGCTCCTCCTTTAAATATATAAATTACAGCCCGGCTCGGCGTCGGAGGCCCCTCGCGGTGCTCGGCGCCCCTCCCGTCAGTTCGCCGGCTGCCAGCCCCGGGACCTTTTCATCTCTTCCCTTTTGGCCGGAGGAGCCGAGTTCAGATCCGCCACTCCGCACCGAGACTGACACACTGAACTCCATTTCCTCCTCCTAAATTTATTTCTGCTTAATAGCCACTCATCTCTTTTTCCCCCATATCTGGTTGCTCCAAGAAATTTTTTCTTACTCCCCAAAGTCAGGGTCCCCCCTGCCCATCCTGTATTCATATTTTCACCTGGGGAACTACTTGCCTTTTTTTTTTTTATAAAAGGAATTCAAGCAAGAAACATTTTTTTTTTAATTGGGCATCGACTCTCGATTGTTTGCAAAAGTTTCTCATTATAAACAAACAAACAAACAACTCTCCCTGATCCGTACTTTGAGAATTGTTCGTTTCTTTGTTTTCTTCTTACTTTTTGTAAAAAAAAAAAGGAAAAAACCCCCAAAAAATAAAGTCTCCCAATTTTTTCTACCTTTTTAAAAAATGCACTACTGTGTGCTGAGCGTTTTTCTGCTCCTGCATCTGGTCACGGTTGCGCTCAGCCTGTCTACCTGCAGCACGCTCGATATGGAGCAGTTCATGCGCAAGAGGGTCGAGGCGATCCGCGGGCAGATCCTCAGCAAGCTGAAGCTCACCAGCCCCCCAGAAGAGTATCCTGAGCCTGAGGAAGTCCCCCCGGAGGTGATTTCCATCTACAACAGCACCAGGGACTTGCTCCAGGAGAAGGCGAGCCGGAGGGCGGCCGCCTGCGAGCGCGAGCGGAGCGACGAGGAGTACTACGCCAAGGAGGTTTACAAAATAGACATGCCGCCCTTCTTCCCCTCCGAAAGTAAGTACTGCTTTTCGTTTCCATCCCCCGAGGTGTAGCGCTGTCCGGGAGCAGCTCCCGTGGATCAAAACCGCAGTAGCTCCGGGAATCGCCCTTCCCTCTCCCGGTTCCCGATTGCTCTTTTCCCGTTTCTCCTGCCCTTCGCCCCATCCACCTCCTTTCCACTTGTGTGCTTGAGATCGTCAGGCTTTGAAACGTTAACTTTCTACTTTATTTTCACCATCGCTCCCTTCCCCCCAACGCCTAAGCCCTTTCTAAGGCGTAGTGCTCTTTTTCTCTTCCCTGAAATCCTTTACTCGGCCACCAGCTCGGAGTCAGCCCTCCTCTGTCAAACTGCAGGCTCTCCCCGGGGAAGAGTTAGAGTGGGAAAAGTTGGTAGGTTTGTTTCCTCTGCTCCGATTGACGTGGAGCGCGCCCAACTGGTGCACGAAGGGTTAAAAAAAAGAGGCTCCAAACTAGCCTCTCCGGAAGGCGCCCCCTTTGCGTGCTGACCTATCAGCTGGTTGCCCAAGCCTTCCCCATTGTCTCTAACGACCCTAAAAAAATGTCAGCATCGCTGAGATAAAACCCGGCCGGGAGCCCCCTCTGGAAACCTATCTTGAAACCCTCAGTCCTTGATGTATGTAGCCCTTGCCGTCCCGAGGTCTGTATTTACCCAATGGCAGAATCTTGAAACCACGTTCCCTTTCGACTTCACCTGGAAGGATAGAAAGGGCAACTTCGTTTCTGAAGGTGTTGAAAAGGGGTTAAGTTTACGATATTTTTCAGAATTCACCCAAACCTGCCTTCTTAAGAACTCCGGGGTAGGAGAACATTTTTCTTCGGGGTTTATTGATCTTTTTTAACCTTCAGCTCCTGCCTTTTCATGGGCTCTCTGTACTTACTTCCGTGCATCCCTAAAACTCAGATAGACTAGAAGACAGCCGGATTTTTTTTTGGACTGGCTTCTGGCTTCCTCTGAGAACAGAGTCCTAAACCCAGCTGGCATACGGTAGCAATGGGAGTGAAATGATTTATTATGGAGCTCTTCGGGGGGGGGAAGGGAAGGGGGCAGTGAGTGTAGGATTATTTCAGGGTTCTTAGAACAAAACAAAATAACCAACCAAAAAAAAAGAAAAAGAAAAGAGAAGAAGCAGTAACTAGTGATACCTGAGAGGGTTAAATACCAGGAAGAAGAAAAAGTAAAAAAAAGTTCAACATTTGTGTATTCCAAATCCCAAGTTGTAAACTTTTCATTGGTTGTTCACTCCTCTCCTCCCCTTTCCGTGCCCTATATACTTGCTGGCTGCCTTTGCGGAGTCACCGTGTCTTGCCTACATAGATAATACAGCCATCTTGGTAATTTTATCCTAGAGATTCTAATTGCAGGGTGGTGCTTTTCTTTTTTAATATTTATTTTTAGTTTGACAAGTCCTAGCCCTGTGACTTGCCGTGTCTTGTACTGAATGGTCTCAGAATGTCTGCCCATGCATCTAACCCCAGTCTTTCTGTGGCCTTTATTTTGCTGCATATTCTGCTCTGGTTCAATGGAAGAACAGATGCAGGGAATTCTGGCAAGCAGGACAATTTTATTATTGTAATTATGGCACTATCCACAACAGTGGTAATAAATATACTCCACCCTAGTTATCCCCCCGGGGGGAAGTAAAGCTTTTTATCTGGGGTGGAGCCAAGGAGATATTAGGAGAGAAAGTTCATTGTAATTAGTCCAAAACCATTGAGTCCAGGGAGCAAGGAGTTGAGTCAGTTTGCTTTCTGTAGTACGTGCCTCAGTCCTACTGGTATTTGGGCAGACAGGCAAGTATGTTATGTAGAACCTGAAATGGCTCATCCTTCAGTGTTTACATGCAGAAGCGCTAAGAAAAAACCAGCACTTTGGTCAGGCAGAGAGGATTTCTCATCTTATTACTGTATGGTTATGGAGTGAGCAAATAACCCACGAGAGAATTAATTCCTTGTTCTCTCTAGCACACTTCAGTCTGAAAGGTGAGATGGTCCAACCCAGGATCAGGGTCATCAACAAATTAGACCAATTCCTAGATTATTAGGAGGATTTCAGAGTATGGCATCTAAGATCATCATGTGCATTCTCCTCTCCACTTCTCCCCTCACTGCCAAATAAATTAAAATTTCCGGTAGATCCAGGATAAAATATACACTACCAGTTTTCATACAAAGAATACAGGCTTTAAGAAGCTGTATGGAAGTTGAGGAGCAGAAAGCCATATTAATAGCAGGTTCAACACTACTGTGCAGGGACTGTGGATAATTTTATAGAAAGTAGGTTAACTGATTTTCCAGCACTTTCTAGTTATACTGGAACATAGCGAACCCTTCCAAAAAGAGGAAGAAAAGGAAAAAAATCTATATTTTTTAAGAGCAAATTGAAAGTACAGCATTGGCTTAAGTACCAACTTTCCCTCTTTAGGACTTTTCTGCCTAACTTTTAACTCGGCTGTCACCGAGAGAGTATGCCTGTCATTTCTTGCAGTGAATCCGGCAAGGGTCATAAGCCCCAGAGATGAAGGCATGGGAAAGATCACTGGTTCATTTTTTACCACCAACTTATTAGTGTTTGGGGAGTGACTTCAGCTCAAGTATTACAACTATGCTCTAATTATACTCAATGAGCTATATATCATTACAGATTGCTGATAGCCCTTTGTGGGACATTTTATAAAGTTCAGACTAAATATTTTTAGCAATGTGGAGATTTAAAAGTAAAAATATAAGAGATATTGTATATGACCTCAGGCATATTTTGTCTTAAATATTATCCTTGGCCAAGTGTACTACTATATAAATACAGTAAATATGAATAGAACTGGCCTGTTGCCAATCTCCTAGGATGAATTTTAGTCAAGAATGTATTTATGGGATGTAAATAATACTGTGTCAACATTTAAAGAAGGGGGCTGATTAGTTTTGAATTTATTCATATTGATCTTTTCACATGCTGTTAGTTTAAGGCTCAAAGTGGAGTTATGCTAAGGTTTACGAATAGTTTGCCCAGTGGGAATTAGTGGATTTCTAGTAGTTTGACAGTCCACTTGAAGTTCAAGGCATATCTATTCAAAAGACATTGCACTGGTTTTAGAAATTTAGAAAGAATGATTTCATGACAAAATCCAGACAATTGCCATGCAGAATCTGTAGTGGCTTTGACAATCAAAAAAAGGAAGAGATAAGAAGTTTCATTTTTTATTCCTGTCTTCTCCTTTTTACATTGTAACAATCAGCCCATGTTGTGGTTCTAACTGGTGATTTTGTACACCTTTCCTCTCCTTTATGCCCACTGGAACATTTGGCAGAGTTTGGAGACAGTTTTCATTGTCAAGACTGGGGGTAGAAGGGTGATGCTGTCCTTCAATGGGCAGAAGCCATTCTAGAATGCATAGAACAGGCCTCCCCCTCCCCCATCAAAGAATCATTCAGTCCAAAATGTTAGTAATGCCGATTTTGAGAAGCCCTGGTAGCCCAGGCATTTATTTTGTGTTACTGAATTCTGTTAGTAATTTTATTTCAAAAGTAATAACAAAAATAAAATATCTGTATCATCAAAGGATATTAAAATGGGGGCATTGAATAGGAAGATAATTAGAATGTTAATTAAATGGTATATGGATTAGGCCATTTTATATGGTGTATACTTTACTATTGCGATGAAAACTCTTACACTAGAAACATCAAACCTTTCCATTTGCTTAGCTTGAGTAATGGGGTTGACCCATCTATTAGTAGCTTCAATCAGCAGCAGTATGATCTTAGAAGAGATCAAGAAGTGAGAAATTATCCTGGGTTTTTCTTACAGTGAAAATAAGCAGTTTCTGTTAATAAAGACTGGCATGTCCAAGCTAGGCAACTGACTAGAAAGTAAATAATCATGTTGGTTTGTTCTGCCATATTGTATCAAGTAAACTAAAATATATAGTCTGAAAGTTCACAATGAAGTTTCATTTGTAGCTGTTTCGCAGGAATGTTAAATATTTAATACCAAGCAATCTTCTTTTTTATTTCTTCTTTAATTTTCCAAGTGAAATTGTGGAATGTAAAGGGAAGACCAATGACACTATGGTTTGGGGGAATGTGACTTGGCATTCAGTTCAGGAATATGGCTTTCTGCATACGGATTGTCAGTCTATTGGCCAGTTGCCCAATGAAGGAAAATATTGGCAATTGCTGGAATGTAGAAGTATTTTTGCTTTATTTTTTTTTAAGAATCCTCTGTATGTGTTTGTATGTGGGTATATGAGGGAGACAGACAGAAAGAGATAGAGATTGATCAAAGACGGACTTGAACTCCTCCACTTCCAGAAAGATTTGAGGTATTAATACACAACAGACCAAACTTTAATTGCCCCCTTTTTATTGCACCATTGCTCATTCTAACTCTAGTGCTTAATTGTGGTTACATTTAAGTTAGGCCACATGCTTGTCCTTCAGGATTTCCTTTTTTTTTCCTTTCACTTTTCAACAACTAGAAAAAATTCTCAAAGAAATATACTGTTTGTCATTGAAGCAGTTCAGTCGTCTTTGTTGGCAAGTGAAGCCAGCCTGCTTTATGCCTCTCCTGAGGAGAACTCCCCACTCCCCAGTAAAGGCTAGGCTTTGGCTTTGCTAAGTTTGAGGCCCAGGTAGGGACTGCTTGACCTCACAGAAGGAAGCGGGAGGGAGGGTGGAGCCCGCCTCGTCTCTACAGCGACCCCTGTGGTCTACTCAAGGAGCTGCATTTTTTGAATTAAGACTTCTCCCTAATGAAAAGATGCTGATGTAACCTAGTCGCAGCATCTTTCGCATAAAGATATGAAAGAATGGCAGATCGTTTTTCCTAGAGGAAATGGAGGTGTAAAAAAAGGGCTAATGACTCACTGTTTAAACCCACACCAAATCTGGGTTAGAACCAAGGAGGTCATTGACTCGTAGAGTCAAACACCCAGAGATTACAACACGCTTCAGGCTGCTCTTTTAGAAGGTTTAGGAAAGCAGAGTGGAGGAGCCTG